ATGAAAGTGAACGCAAGTAAGACGAAAGTGATGGTTTTTGAAAGAGAAGAAAGTAAAACTTTATGTAAAATAAGAATAGAAGGGGAGTTGATTGAGCAAGTGGATGAGTTTGTATATTTGGGATGTTTATTTAGCAGGGATGGTAGATATGATAAGGATATAGAACGACGAGTGAACGCAGGAAATAGAGTGAATGGGGCTCTACACGCTATTGTGAGGAGTCAGAATGTGTCAACTAAGGCACGTATGGCAATTCATAATGCTGTGTTAGTACCCACTTTAATGTATGGTAGTGAAAGTTGGGTCTGGCAGAAGAAGCATGAGAGTAGAATAAATGCTGTAGAAATGCGTTCCTTAAGGAGTATGCTAGGGCTGAATCTGAATGACAGGGTGAGAAATAGTGTAATAAGAGAAAAGTGTGGTTTGCAAGATGACGTTTGTGACAAGGATTAAGAAAGGAATGCTTCGGTGGTTTGGTCACGTAGAAAGAATGAACGAGGAAAAAGTGACAAAGCAAATTTATGTTGCAGAAGTGAACGGCAGGGTCGGGAAGGGACGCCCTAGACGAAGGTTTATCGACCAGATCGGCGATACATTGAAAATGGGCCAGATTAGGAGTACCCTTAACCGACGAGCGTGTATGCGTAGATATATGGATGTGAAAGAGGCGAGAGAGGTGTGTCAGGATCGCGCCAAATGGAAGTCCGTAGTCTCTGCCTACCCCTCTGGGTGACAGGCGTGAGTGTTTATGTATGTATGTATGTACTGGACTTGTCTTATAACGAAGAAAATAATTTATTCTTGTGTATCGGTTGTTTATTAATGATGGGTAGAAAAAAATATTGAATTTTTTCCATGTTTACGTTTTAACAATGAGAGCCACGCGGCAGCTTTTGCTATCGCATGCATGGGCCACCTCGAACCAAATTACCACGACCTCACAGAATACCAGCGTGAAGTAGAAGTTTACTTCTGCGTTTCGCGTGGTAAGTATAGGTGGTCGGAGGCCCAATCCCACCACCCTACTACCACAGGAGGGTAACAGTATCCTGGTGACGGAGAATCCTTCGCTGAGCACCCACGTCCAAGCTACCCTACTGTTCCTGAGCGTGTGTGCTCAAGCTGCCCCGCGTATTCTGGTATACTAGGGGGTATCCGCAGAAATCGTGACCCTTGGCGATTTTAACGACCATCACGCCTAATGGCTCGGTTCACATTTAACCGATCATGTGGGGAAATTTGTTTATGACTTTACCTTGGCATATGGTTGCATAGCTGGTTACTTTGCCTACGCGGATTCCAGATGTGGAGGATCATGCACCTTCCCTGTTGGAACATCTGCTGACCTCTTATCTGGATGGATATCAGGTTTCCGTCGACACCCCTCACGGCTCCTAGGGCCATTGTCTTGTCCGGAGGGTCGTGTCACTCACACTATCTTCGCAGTTGAATTCTGCAGGCTGCCGCCGTGTTTGGCACCATAGGCTGTCCAAGGGAACTTCTGTCAGCCATCTCTGCAAAGACAGGGGGACTCACTGAGTCCATGCCGCAAAGGAGAAAGCCGATCTGTTAATCTCGCTTTTTGCGTCCAACTCGACTCTCGATGACGGAGGAACACACCGCCGACCATCCCGCGGTTAGAGTGCTCCATGCCAGATGTGCAGCTTACACAGCACTCAGTTCACAAAGCACTCCCCTCCCTGGTCGTCAACAAGTCGAGAAGGCTTGATGGAGTCCCTTCCATTGTGCTGAAGACGTGTGCTCCGAAGTTGACACCGGTTTTAACGCGTCCTTTCCGGTACTTCTACTCCTAAGGCGTTATCCTAAATTCATGGGAGACAGCTTTGGTTCACACGAGCCCTAAAAAAGGTGACCGCTCAGATTGACAGGTCTATCGCCATCACCTCCTTGTTCTCCAAAATAATGGAATCCATTATAAACAGTTTTCGTCGGGGTTGATCAGCTGGTGATCTTCTGGTCTATCTAACTCATAGATGAGCGGAAGCAGTAGAACCCAAGGGGTAGGTATTGGTAGTTTTGGTCATAACGAAGGCCTTCGATCGGGTCTGGCACAAAGCGCTTCTTTCGACGCTCCCTTCCTATAGGCTTCCCGAGAAATTGTGCAATTGCATCACCAGTTTCCTTACTGATCGGAGCATCAAGGTCGTAGTAGACAGTACATGCTCTGATTACAAGCCTATTAACACTTGTGTTCCACAAGGCTGCGTGCTATCACCAATGCTTTCTACTGCATATCAATGATATGTTGCAAACTGGTAACAACGACAGCACTGGTGATGCAATATACACCGGCCGTACCAATATTTCTCGGGAAAACGTCTCTGAGTACCGGAACAAACTTGTGTTTGATGTCGATTCTTTGCTAAACAAAGTCTCGGATTAAAAGCGGCTAAATCTAGTCCAGTTCAATCCCCAGAAGACACAAGTTTGCACGCATACCGCTAAAAAGAACCCCTTTGTCGTATCTCCTCAGTTTTAAGGTACTCCCCTTGCTGCCTTAGCTAGCATCGGAATCCTCGGCGTCAACATATCGAATAGTGTGCTGTTTTGTGGTCACTTGGAAGGGAAGGCCAATTTGGCCTCTAAAGAGCTTGGCGTGCGCAGCAGAGCGGGGTAGTATTTCATGTCGGCACATCGCTTGCAACTTTAGAAAGCGCAAAGTCGGCCTCTCATTTCTGGGCTGGGGCACGCCAGTGTCAGCTACTTCCACTTGACCGCATCCGCAGAGCGGTTCGTGTCGTCGACGTCCGAATCCTTTCTGATCGGCTCGATACACTGGCACTGCGTAGGGATGTTGCATCCCTTTGCATTTTCAATTGCATCTACCTCATGGAGTGCTCTGAGGTTCGGTTTAATCCGTCACAATTCACGATACCATCCTCACCATCTGGATGCTTGACGGGCCACCACTGTGCGTTTTACTAGGAGTTTTCTTCCTCGTAGAACTTCTCTGTGGAATTGTTTATCACCAACGATTTTTCCAGGCTGATACGACTTTGGGACCATCAAGAAAAGAGCTTACTGCTTTCTAAAAGGCCGGCAACGCACCTGCTATTCCCCTGATGTTGCGGTTGTTCATGGGCGGCAGTAATCACTTACCATCACGTGACCGCATGCTCGTTTGCCCCCTTTTCTATAAGAAAACTTACGACGAGTAAACCCAAAAATCTAAGTGCTTGATTGAGGGCTGTAATACAACTATCAGGGTGGTTTCTGGAACACTCATTATACCCAAATTCATTCAATAACTGTACTTGGCACGAACCAGGATTCAAAACCAGGACCAAATCATTATCCACAGTCGCGCTAGTAACCACATACAAACAGACAATTTTTTTTTATATTATATACTTTCATGATATGTATCTAGTAAAAATCTGTTATTTTGACGTTACGAACAGACACTTCAATTTTATTTATCTGAATAGTTTCATATTCGTAAAATATGAAAGTTTGTGAAAAATTCGAAAGTGATTACTATATTATTTTGATTTTGAGGCGTCAGAAAACTTGGCTGCTCTTTTATAATTCAATACAAGATCGTAGATATCAGTGTGATTTATACTGATGATCTAGTTGATTGGGGGTTATTAATAATTACTTTAAATAAAAGACAGGATTTTAGTGTATGTATTTGGTTACAGTCGACAGCAAAGTATAGCCGAATTTAATCATAATGATTTGTTAGATTCAAATTATTTTTCTTTTCAGTAAATTTAATTTCGTCTATGTGGTTACCTTGCACTCTATTTAGAAAAGCTAATATTTTTTAGTAGCATCTTGAACGTATACAGCAAGATAAGATTTGCTCCAATTCCTCATTAATGCGATGTGAAAAATGTTAATTTCTTTTGTTAGAATTCTCTGAACATAAAAAACAATTTTTTATCTTGTTTAGACATGACTTCTTAAACTTTACACCTCAGAAGCGGTCATTATTGATTTTTACAAAGACGGAGATAGAGGTTGGTCCTAATCACGAGCTTCTGAATTAAAAAAAAAATCTGGTAATCTGCCTCACTTTAGTCCTAAAAAGAACAAAAATACTATAACATATAATTTCATAAACTTTTAAAAATATCGTGTTGTGTTAAGAAAGTTCATCATTTATTGCGATATATTACTAAAAGTAATGACATTGAAATAAAGATGCATAGCGTAATTTTAATAGAAAATGTTAAATATAATTAAAGTTAATTTAAATATATAACGTCAAATTAAACTAAATCGAAACTTAATTTTAAAGTGAAGATAACGCATAATTAATTGAAACAGAACTTACATCTGTTATTTATAATACGATCGTTGATCAAAAAATATGAGGGAATACGTTACAAGGCAGTTGCGTTGATGCAATGAATATATTGTTCATGTGTCTAAAAACCTCGTGAATTAAACAGAGGGCAGCCGTACAAAGTTGGGTGCAAGCGGGGTAAGGGAGAGGGGCAACAATACAAATCTTGGTTTTAACCGGTTAATTCTTACTACCTAAACCTAAATTTGTGAAAAACCGGTATTCCGCAGAAACCGGTTTTGGGGTCAATGACCGAAACCGGTTTAGAATTTGAACCGGTTTCCGAGCCCTGCTCGCAGCTAGTGCTCATTCGCAGAGAATAAAAATTGAACATGTTCAATTCAATTCGCAGCGAATTCAACTCGCGGCTAATGAATCTATTCGCAGCGAATTCCCTGTGGGAATCGCAGCGGGTATTCGCTGTGTGTGACCGGGGCTTATGGGACGATATGGGGTAGTGTATATTCTTACACCGCTGCTACACGGTTGGTACATTTGTAAAGTTGGTAAATATTAATTATCACCATTAGACGCATATTATGAAGGACATGTACGAATCTAATGACACCACAGAAACAAATCCGATTAAAAAAAAAAAGATTTTTGTGGTAGTGGGATAAAAATTGACTATTTTTATTATTATAACTTGTAGATTTATTACTCAGAGTGTATATTTCCTTTACAGCAAGCTAAGTGTAAGGAGCTGCCCAAATACGATGGCAGCTTAGGCCCTATAAATGGAAAGACTACATCGGTGGGCGACAGTTCTTGTTGTCTCCGCTCTTAAACTTACGAATTTATCTTAATGACATTATTAGTGTTGTATCTATAGCGTTTTTATAAAGAGACTGTTTATCGATATCGAAAAATCTAGAAGAGTAAGAATTAGTTTCGACGTACCAAGAAATGACTGATAATTTCGTAATCATTACGTCGACATAATACTTCACGTCGTCTTAGGACTCCTTATTTATTAATGTAATGATCTTTATGAAATAGCAGATACTAATAAAAATATAGTGAAATTAGTATAGTCTCTTTATAAAAATGCCACATTAATATTATGTATTCGGTAGTGTTGTGGTTTGACATTCCAATCGCTTTTAAGTGCAATAGAGTTATGTTACAATGTCATTTTAAATGAAAGACTTTCTAGTAATTATTTAGTTGTATCAATGAGAACTTAGGAATTGAGATTACTTTAGGGATAATTTCTAATTATTGTTAACTACATGGAATTAATTCTTACATATAAAAGTATTTATTTTTTTAATCGTCTAGTTTAAAGACCTATAATATTGTTTAAGCCAATAGAAAGCTGTTGATTATTAACTGTGATTTATTAAATTGTGAAAATGGGATTCGGTTCATAAGTTAAACGGTATTTTTATTTGTATTGTTATTGTTGAAATAATTATTGATTAATCTGTGAAAATGTAGAGCAATACGCATTAACCGGCTTTATAGCTCTGGCTTCACAACCGCCTGAGCTAGCTGAGCCGATAAATTATAAAAGTTTAACCATGAGACAAAATGTATTATTTGTAAGTTTAATTTCTTTTTTTAAATATCCTGTGTTGTATAATTAATGCTTCTAGAGTGAGAGCGATTTCACATTACGTGCGGTACGTCAATTAGACGCATTTTATTTATTTGTTTTTACGATTTATTGTTGTATAACACGTTTTGTGATTATTTCCTGTATTTCACAAACTATAATAAATAAGTACACTAAAATTATAAATTCTTTTAACAAATTTTAATTAGTAACGAACTCTTGTAATCAAATAAAATTGTTATTGTGTATTTGTTCACCACAAATTATTACAATACAATAAAATACTGGTTTCTTTAATTAACATTACGAAATCATAGTAGTTATTACAATTCGTAATCACACGGTTTATTTAAAATATTTAAAATAGAATGAAGCTTTAAAACATTATGCTTCTTCTAACTGGTACCCGGCGCGTTTATACCGCAGAAGAAATAATTCTGGAAATATCTTTTTAAATTTGAAAGAGTTATATTGTTTAATTAGGAATGATAATGATATATAACTCAAACAAATTTGTCCGTACGATACGCGCGCCACCTACTGTAAGTACAATTAGTAGTAAACGGTATGACAGCGCATAAAATACGAACAAAACAAAAGTTATTTTTATATATTAAGAAGATCTACAATCGACAATGCTTTGCATATTCGAAGTTTTGTAAATTACATCACGTGGCGCTACAGTGCTTCTCTTCAATTTAATCTGGGTGATGATTTGGGAATTTCGAGTATTACAAATTCTTGCATTAAATTTCATAAATTATATTTTTAATCTACTCATTCGCCCGACAAGAAAAATAGAAATCCTCGTTATATTTTGGATATTCGTGGTACTAATTTCATTTATGAGTACTAGTTATACCGCGTTTCACTTAGTAATTAAAAAGTTTTGCTTTCACCAAAGTTTTGTTAGCAACTGTTGTGTTGGCAACAAAACTTGAAACAATGTCGGGAAACCGTGTTTCCATTTTCGGCGGCAACATCAAAGGAATACGCTTGTTGCAAACATTTGTTCCTTCGGTGGAGACGCTTGTTGGAAACATTTGTCGGCAACATCGGAAACAAATGTTGGTAACTTTTGTTGAGTTGTAAACAGTTGGAAACATAAATATTGTCAACATTTTTGGCGGAGACGTGGCTTTAGTTATAATGTGTGAGTCTGTTGTTGTTGAAATATTAAATTTGAGTTTTATTATTAAAATTAAATTTCATAGAAAAAAATTATTTGCAACAATAATCGTGACCTAAAAATATCTATATATTTTCAAGTTATTATTTTAAGTAATTATTCTACGAGTTTCTTGTACACATGTTAAGAATTAATTATTTTAAAGGAAAAATTGCTTCTACTGTTTTATAACACTACTAAACAAGGGAATTTTTATGAAGGAAATTACGTCGACCCTATCAGTAGCATGTAATAAGGCAAAAAAGTGCATTTTATGTAGTTACAGAAAATCACTCATAAAAAGACTTGGTACGTATGATAAAATCTATATTCTGTAGTGAATTATTGAATAATTTTAGTTATGAATTCTTAAAGCCATGCATTAAAACACCGCCAACTTGACAAAAATAGCTATAGGCCAATTCATGTTGGCATGACTAATATTTTATACCATTTAAAGCAAGAAGATTTTTATTTTTCTGGTCAGGTTATTAGCATTTTAAGATAGTTCTATGACATTGTAACATAGCTTTAAAGTTAGACAATTTACTGTTGCAAGTTTTATTAATATTATTATCAAAATCTTAATTAGTTATGGCATTAGTTGCATTTTAGAACGATTAATTAGACGAATTGTAGGTTATTTATTATGTTTAATATTGTAATTGTAGAAAACAAATATGGAAATCTGTAAGCCTTCTTGCACATGTTATTATTAAGACAGTTACTCAATGTAATGTAGCGGCATGCTTAGACATTTTTTCATTAACTAACGTGCGAAAAGGGCATGCATAAATCAGAAACGTTGCATATAGCGCAAACAGTATTCTAGGGGTGGAGCTAAAAGTTAAACTAAGTAATGTCTAAATTTGAGTATAGACCATACTACAATCTCTACAAACAGTCTATCATCGAAGGTGTCTAGAAGGGGCAAGGTGCGGTTCGTGGCCCTTAGCCGCTCGGGAACTGTCCGTTAGGGTTGTCTTGTCACGCAAATAAATTCAAATGGTTCACACTACATGTGCAAAAACTGTGGGTCGTCCTGATTTAAAGATAAGTAATTAATTCCATCAGTTTATACATACACATTAATTTGTTTAAATGTGAAATAAAATAAAATCAGTTTTTTTTTTTATTTCTTTATTACTTCTCGTTCTGTCAACCTTAGCAATTTATTGTTTATGTCTGCTTTTCCGACAACATCAACCGCGATGACTGACTGTATTCTGACTTCTTCTTAGGCCAGGTGACCATACTATGTTACAAGTATTTTGACATTGTGAAGACTGTGCTTAAACTCAAGATTGTCCCTGAAATCCGGTCTAGTCGACAAGTCAAGTAAAGTCAATTCGACGTTAACTAATATCACCACAGCGATGATATACATAAATTATGGAATATTCGATTATATAATCGATTATTGTAAGTGTGAGAGTGGATTACATTTTTACACGTGTCAACTAAGAGGCTGTGATCCTTAAAATTTAAAGGCGTATGAGAAATTCGTATACATGCAGCACATAGTATTATATAACATGTCTTTGATAGTAGTAGAAATTGCATGCTTCTACAAAATATGTATATTCTCCATGAACTCAATTCGCTTTTTTACACCGTGGATCCGTGGATTATAACAACACGCTCTGTATTTAGATTAGACTACATGAAACATATTATAGCTATAAAACATATCAGGTACATAATATTTTTTAATACTAATTAAGAATATCGGAGAAACAATACACTTGATATAAAGTACTTGTTCCGGTTGACGTTTTATTCCGCCTTGGGAATATTAATGGTTGTAGCTTCTCTTAAACTTTAGTTTGTCTAAAGCATAACAACTTTTTATAACAAACAAATGAACATGTGTAATAAGACTTTGTAATAAAAGATGAATTTATTTATATCTCATTGTAAAATAGTGAATTATTTTTATTTTTCTTTTACAGACGCTAGATTATTAGACTTTATATCTCATTGTAAAATAGCGAACTATTTTTTTTTATAAACATGACAGATTATAAACCTAATGGTTTTTATTTTTTTGGTCACATTTTACATTTTTTATTTTTCATATTATTAAGATATTGTTTTTTATCTGTGGGTTGTTATTTTTAAATAAAGTTGATGTTGTAATTATTGTACATGATGTATATGTTTAAGGTGCCTCTTGTAATAATTTTTATCATCACACTAATGTATTGTGCACTTTGGTGTCAGATTATTTAGTATTTCGATGTGATTAAATTTTTAATTACTAAGTGCAATGCAGCTTAAGTATTAAGGAATATTGTAGACCCGTTACGGTGCGAATTTATAGTTATATCTTAAGTTATTATTGACTGCTTTGTTCGTCTAGTGGTCCTAACCGCGAGAAACCGTCTCGGGTTCGAATCCCGGGCCAGTGCAAAAATCAGTTATCGTTTTTTTTTTTGGCAAGAAATTCCCAGTAACTGACCTGAGTTATAAGTAGCGATTGTTTAAATCCCGTGCTTCAGAAAGGTTGCTCAGCCGTTAGTCTTGTGCGTGATTTTTCTCCGGTCGTGTCGGATTGATGGCCCATCATCGTGCACTCTAATCTAGATGCTAGATAGCTAGTCTCTGTTGCAACACGCCGCCGCGCCGAGGCCGAAATTTGATCTGGAAAAAAGTATTAATCTGTCGATTCGACTAATGTGCTTATTGATACAAATCTTTATATGTGGGAAATACTATTGAAAATTAATAGATCAATACACTCTTCAGTATCAATTGTTTAAAATTCTTAATAATTCAATATTATGTTGGTTATGGTTGGTTATTACCATCAGTTTACCTTATAGTTCAATCATTTTAGTTCAAAAATTGACAAAATTAATGGAGTGCTTTTATCTATCACCAGAATTATGTATGTTATAAAGCGAAATCCGCCGAACCCCAGAAGGAGTCCTGAAGCGCGGTTTTTTCCAGGTTTAACGAAAACCGTACACTATATATGAAAAGTATGTAGGTACGAAATCATCCTTCATTTTGCTATCAACCTCTTATACATACAAAAGCGATATCATTTATAGTTTTC